GATTACGAAATATTTGAAACGAATTTCAGAGAACACAGCTTTGTCCGATAATATGAAAGTTTGTACTAAAATATAGAGAACAGCAAGAAAGTAACAGCTGAAAATTGTTCCAATTTTTTTTTAGCCCCAAAAAATTCAAAATTATTCAATTGGACTTCAAATGATATTAATAACACAACTAACACTACCCAAAATTTGTAAGAAACTTTGAAATTTTAATTTGAAAAAAAAAACCGTTTTGACTGAAAAATTCTCGAGAATGTCGTGAAAATAAAATTGGTAATAAATTTAATTTCAATTCCTTAAATAACGATATTTTTTTAAATTGAATTTTATCTTAGATTTTAGTTATTTTTACCTGCCAAAATTCTATTATTGATTAGATGAAAAAGCTGGTAAGCTCTTGTATGAAGAACTATATACATGGCATGAGGAAAAATTTTTAAAAGATCAGATCATTTGTCTTCGATTAATCACTGCAGCAAATTTGATAATTACATAGAAAGCTGTATTTTAAAAAAATATTTGAGATATTTCTTCAAAATGTTATTATTTTACGTTTAACGGTATAAACTTTCGAAAAATAATTTTTAACAGCTTTACACTAGCTGTTGCTTTAGGCAGCTGCCTTGAAATTTCTCTTCTTAGACACAAATCAATAATGAATTTCGACCTGTCATATATACTGTTTCCATTAACAAAATGTCTAGTATATACCATACATGCCCAATTATATAACGGTCTATGTACCTACTTACAGGAGCACGAGCAATCCAGTTAACTCGGCCATTCATTGTTCCTCTCACTGCACTGCATCTGGCTATCTGACACTGGCGTCGCTATTGACTTCATCCATGAACAACATTTTCGCTGCCGATGCGTCTATGCACTTTTCGTCATGCTGACGTCATTTCCTTTGCATTCATTATTCGTATCGACTTTATTTTCCCAATACATACCCACCTGCGCCACACACCTCTCTTCCATCATAGAAAGCGCTCTCGGCACAAGTTTCTTTGTTTCATTTGATTTTATTGAAGTTTCCTTCAATCGCTAAACGACGACGACAAGAGTGACAATAAAGCGACAACCGTTGTTGAGTAGAAATAAAGGTGCTAACTGTTCATTCATTCAGCACCTGCAGCGGGTGCCATGATGCCTCGGGTGCAATCGCTGCATTTATGTTGAATTTGATTTTGCAAAACTTTCTGTTTGTTAACACACACAAATAATATTCAATTTTCAATTTATTTATTTTTGTTTTCTCAGCATTTGTGGCATTCACTCAAGGCTGCTGGCAAACAGCCGCAGAACCTTCCAACTTTAGTGCTGCTATATGGCATATAGATTCGTATACTTGCAAAGGCGCTGGGCCTTGAAAGTGCAAGCCTCGCATAATTTCGTTCGACTTAACTATTTGAAGGAGCTGCTTATAAGTTGCTGGCGGCTTATGTGCGCATACACATACACACACGCATACATACATTTATTTGTATAAGCATGTATGTATATGTATTTGCCTTTGTATATGTATGTGTGTTTGTGCATTCACAACAGTAGGCGCATTGCATCATTCGACAACAGCAGCCCTCTCCTCTGCCTTTGCTCCGCTGAGAGTGGCAAGAGTTTTTAATAAGATGTTTTCCTCACACTTGTATCTGTGTGTGTATCAGTGTAGCGCTGTAATGCTTTACTACTGTTCACATTTTCTTCGTATTGCTCTTTCCTTTCTACTTCATCAACTCGTCATCTTCGATGTCCTTCGAAGTAATTTGATGGCAAATATTGGATTAGTTTTCTCCGCCGCCTTGATCGCAACTGAACGATTTAAGAAGGTTATTTATTTATGGATGATTATGGCCGTACACATGTACATATATGCATATATAAATTTGTATGTACTATGTGCGTTTCTGTGATTTTGAATTTCTAGTTAGCAGCTCGCTCGTAAATAACCGCATAACTTAATAAATTAAGGAAGTTTACAAGGCTGCTCAGATAATCAGCAGAAGATTCGCGATAGATAAGTAAGTGTTCGTTGTTGTTGTAGTTTGTTGAATTGGCATCCAATACATGTTTGTTTGCCATTGGTGGATTTTGTGATTGTAGTCCTGATGAACATAAATCGTTTTTATGAAAGTAAGGTTCAATTAATTTATAACTGCAGCTACTGTTAGCTTTCTAAATTATCGTAGTGAGAAGTTCTGTAGCCTTCGTTTGCCAACACTCTACAAAAAACACCTTTTAACACAGTTTTCTTTAAGCTGTTGCCACATCAATCTGTCTAAGAAACTACATATAGCAGCCATAATTAGTGGTCCAAGTTAGACATTCCTTGACGCTGCTCCAACAAAATATAATATTAATATTGATTCAGATTCTACTTTATATTACCAAACAAAAGCTTTTTAAGGCACAGGGTATTTTCCTAAAAATATTATACTAATTATAACAAAAAAATATAAATAAAAAATATAATAATTATTATAAATAAATAAGAAACCCTAAAAGATAAATGCGCTTTCTCGCGTTACGAATTGTCTTTTATCAAAATCTTAATATCTTTAATCGCAACCAACTTAAAATAACTTCAAATTATATTCATTCCAATATAGAAGAGACGGTCCAAACAATTAGGTGTGCTCTTTTTATTCGAAAAAAAATGGTATTGCTCTCAAAATAAATACGAACATGAACACCGAACAAGATGAACACAGCTCCAGCTGCAAAAATATGTTTTTCAGGAGGAAACCACAAAAAAAAGCAATAAAAAACGCTGTTCGGCTGCATCGAAGCTATAATATCCTAATATAGGTGCATTTTTAATAGCATAGAAAGATATAAAAAGTTTAACATTCTGATTCGATCTGAGAGTTGTATGGCAGCTATATGCTATAGTGTTCCGATCTGCATAATACGTTCGGGTATTGTAGCGATGCCTTGGATCATAATCCCTGCCAAATTTCATGAAGATATCTTGTCAAATGAAAAAGCTTTCCATACAAGCACTTGATTCCGATCGTTCAGTTTGTATGGTAGCTATTTGCTATAGTTGTCCGATATCGGCGGTTCCGACAAAAAATGTCGGTGTCGCAACTTTTTCTATGCGATATATCTCTGAATGGCAACTACAACGATATAAAATCAAAATAACTTACCTTGTTAACCAAGGTATATTTGATGATGTCTCATTTAAAACAAAAAACAATAGGTGATATTTATTCAAACAAAATATTTTTCAATAGTAAGGCTAATTTCTGGATAAGATATACTGATCAACAAGCATTATCATATGCTTGTAGTGAGCAATTACAAATTGTACCGCTATGAGTGAGCATTAATATACAAATGAGTTGGTATGTTCGCTACATTGGAAAGATCCAAAAGTGTGGAAAATGTGTGCTATATGAATTGAATGAAAGACAAATGGAAAATCGAAAAAACATTAGTGAAATTTTGCTTCACAGACACGAAAAAAATCACTTTTACATCGAATTGTGATTGGCGATGAAAAATAGATTGATTTTAAGAAATCTAAACGGAGAAAATCATGAGTTCAACCGGGACAACCATTAACATCGACTGCAAAAACAGATCGATTCGATAATGATGCAATGCTCTGTGTTTGGTGGAATCAGAAGGGTGTAGTATAATATATCATTAGCTTCTAAAACCTGGTAAAACTGTTAATACTAATCGCTACAGATAACAAATGATCAATTTGAACCATGCATTGATCGAAGAACGACCAGAATTGGTCAGAAGGAAAGCACGACAAAGTAATTTTGTTACACGAATGCACCTGCACACAAAGCAAAATCGGTTCAGGATGCAATCAAAGTACTTGGCTTCATCATATTCATCAGACTTGTCCACATAAAAAGCAATGGTCAATAATTCGAATAATTGTTTTTTTACCCCATTTCCCATTCACAATTAGTATTTCATTTTCACAAAAAAAAACGTATAACGTCATTTAATATCGGTACGTAGAGACGACCCGCATGTGGAAGTTTTCAATAACTCCATAGCCGTGATTCCATTTTAAACCCAAAATGTCAACCAAACCCGTTCTACAATATTTTTTCAGGTAAAAATCGCCGTGCAAACGTTTCGCGTCGTAAACAAACAGCTGCCAAAAACACACTAATTGACTGATGGAAATCAAACTTCACAACATTATAATACAAACAGGGTTATACCACTCTGTAAAATGCACAGTGGGCGCAGTTTAAGTTCAAATTCAATTAATTGCGAAATAATTACTCGAAATAATTAAAATTATTTAGTTAAGAATTAAGAACTCACGTAAAATACCGAAATCTTAAATTCGATTTATGAGAAGTAGACGTAGTGCCTCTTTGTAATCCAAAAAATGATTTTAGCCAAATCTTGGCGTATAAGCCAAAAACCATTGAATAATTTTGTACTTATAATGGACGCGACAGCAACCTAAGATGAAGCCAGAAGAAAATATAATAAATATATTTTATTACAAAAAAATGCTTTCAATTACACTTTCAACACGAACATAAAAATATCCGCTTAATTATACATTTATTAAAGTGTTAAATGCAAGGAAATCGCTGCTTGGCAAGCGATTGTGAAAACTATGCCAACAGCTATTCAGCAGGAAAGGTCGCAGTAAAAATCCACGAACTTGTTCAAAAGTTAATGGTTATGCTGAAAGTGCAACAACAAATGCAACGGCGTAATAAAGGAGGGAATGGGGAAAGTTTAAGATGAGCAAAATTTAAACAAGCAACAAGAGAAAATTAATTTAATCATAATTGTTGTTCAGTTAATCTTTAATTTATTTACATATATTATTTTTGATAAACTAAAGTAATATTTGACAATTTATATAAGTATATCATACAATCTATATACTTGTATTATGTTAAGAAATATTTATTAAAGAAATATTTTCGCATACTTAAAAAACCACTTTACCTACTACTCTTACTAATTATTTGTCTTTAAATTTATATTACTTACAGGTCTTTACCCAAATTAAGCAGTCAAGACGAAGAAGGGGGGGCAGGTCATGGGTATGGTGGGGGGCCACAACACTTTGAACCCATTCCTCATGATCATGATTTTTGCGAAAGAGTCGTTATAAATGTAAGTTATTTGCGAAATAATTTAAAAAAAAAGTATACTTATATAAATTTATTGAATATACTGAGATACCAAAAAATTTTACAACTTCGCATTATAAAATATAAAAACTAAATACTTTTACCTTTAATATATTTTACGAACTACCTTATCACTTAAATATATTTAGATTTCTGAAATAAAATAACCCAATTTCATTTTCTTTTCACATATTTCGCTTTGCTTTTCCCTTTGCCTCTTCTACTCACATTTTGTTTTGCAGGTAAGCGGGTTAAGGTTCGAAACACAATTACGAACGTTAAATCAATTTCCGGACACACTGCTGGGGGATCCAGCTCGGCGATTACGGTACTTTGACCCGCTTAGAAATGAATATTTTTTTGACCGTAGTCGGCCGAGCTTCGATGCAATTTTATACTATTATCAAAGTGGTAAGTATTGTAAAACTTCACTATATTTATTGTAATTCATTGTTGTTGTTGTTTGTATCTTATTTAGTAAATTGTAAACGAATATGTATATACGTATATTAGTAGTTATATTGTACGTTTAAAAATTCAAAATACATCGAGTTTTGTATTCTGCGCTATATGACTAGTAATCAGATTTGGGGCTGTGAAATTGTATTAGAACTTCGAAAATAGTAATTTGATATACAATCTACATTCAAACGCCGCTACCGACGCATAAAAACTCTTAAGTCTTAATTCTTAAGTCTTTATTAGGTCGGAAAATCTTTGCCTCGAACACAGAAGGAGACGCCTCATCGGGTGGCATAGACTTGGGCTCCTAAAAACCCAACAGCGAAAGTTGTCAGTAGCTTTTTATTGCCAAGTGTAATATACCTATATAAATGATCAGTGTGATGAGCTGAGTCGGTTTAGCCATGTTGGTCTGTCTGTATATACTCACAGTTTTCGATCTGAAATTTTGCATATTAGAGGATATAGCCGCCATACAAACTGATCGATCATCAAAAGTCTTTGTATGGAAATCTTTTTTAGTTGACGAGATATCTTCAATTTAATATCGAATATTTTCCAAGCTTGCTATAAAAAATGCACCTGTAAAGGGTATAGTAGCTTCGATGTAACCGAAGTTAACGTTTTTTCTTTCAATTTCAACTGGATGTCAATATTGATGAGTCAGCAGAGAAAACGTTTGTTCCTAGGCCCAAAGTCACTTTGGAACGCACAAATATTTTCGTCGATCTCTCTTTCACACAACAGAATCGAAAGCATATATTAAAGATGCTTCCTGACTAAAAACTTACTCAGTTACCAAGGGTTTGAAATATTTCTTACTCAAGGTAAACTCTTTACTGATAAAAACGACAAATAAATGGGATAATACAGCATGCTTTTCTTATCCCACCAAATACAGAACATAACCTTGGAGTCAGGGATCATCCGTTAAAACGTTGACATGTCTGGTTGGCCGGGTTTTGCATATGATTGTTTGTGTTTAGGGTTTCCGTAATGGAACCATTTTCCAGCACCAATCACAATCCGAGGCAAAAAACGACTTCTTTTTGTAGCAATTAAGCAACATTTCTGACATGCCAAATAGCCTTTCAACGACTTCAATTCGTAGGACTCCCTATTTCCTTGCTTTGGAATATAATATTTGAAATGCCTGCTTAAGTGACGCCACAAAAATTTTGCGAGCCCTACTTGTGTTTGGCAACAATCTTTACCGAGTAATGATTCCAATTAAACTGAAAAACATGCACAAGACAAGAACAACAAATTTCCTATGCATATTGCAACAATGGTGTAATAATCAAGTTATGGACACAATATATACGAAATGGTTGGTAATTAATTTAATGCAGAATAAAGTGGCAAATTAAATAACGTAACACCATCTCGGGATCAAACCCTTATCGGTGTTATTGATCCAAATATAATACTAAAATATGGAAAAAAAATAACTTTTTGATTGAATGTTTAGTAATTAAAGTACAATATTTTTAATAAATAAATATTAACATTTATTTTTCTGCTCTTCTCTTTTACCCCCATTCATCGGACAAAATACGATCACGCGCACCAAACACTCACATAACTTACCATTCAACAATCATACTCATTCACTCAACAATGTCTTGCACGTCCATAATACATTTTTTTACTTTAAATAAATGTGCTTTTAAATTTTTTGTAATCTCATCGTTCATTTGTATACGATTGCCATGATTTTATAATTTCTATAACAATAAATAAACTCCCTCATCTAGGTGGTCGACTGCGGAGACCGGTCAATGTCCCTTTAGACGTATTTAGTGAAGAAATAAAATTTTATGAATTAGGTGATCAAGCAATTAATAAATTCAGGTAAGAAAATTACCAAACTAACAAGCCAAAAAAATAGTTTTGGTAACAAACGTTAACATTATTATTATTATTCTTAACAAAAACAAAAAAAGTAATAATAATATGCATAAATAATTGGTTGAAAAGCTATTGCGTAGATTTACTTAATTGAATTGTTAATGCGGAATGAATTTAAATAACAAATTTGGTTTTTCATGTAGACTTGTTTACACAATAACTGTACAGCGCAAAACACTTTTTGAAAAAATTAATTTTGTTTTTAATATTTTTTTGTTTACGTAACACTAATAACTTTTACAGCCCAGTTGGAAAAATTGTGTAAAATAATGCATGTACTCATAGCTTAAAAATTATTTTAGTTATAAAAGTTGTAGTAAACAGTTATTTTTTTTAATAATATACTTGTACACATATTGCAGGCTCCTCACGCCTTACAAGGCAATCTTTTCAAAGTAGTTTTAGTTGTTTATATGTATATACTTAAACTACCATATTAACATAGCTCCACTCTTGAGCGGCAATACGATATATTTAATATTCTCATGAAAATATTCAATTAATATAAACATTGCCAATTTAGAAATATCATCTGCACTTCGGATCATCTCAGAGTGCACGGAATGCCCGTCTCATTAAAGTCATTTTAGAACAAAGTCACTGGGTGCATCTTATTCCAAAAACTTATGGAAGATCCCTATCGCTGAAAATTAGTAATATATTATACTTCTGCAATGTAGACTAGTAGCTTACAGAAATTCAAATATTTTCGGTTAAGACTTTTTAGTTATTCACATTAGCTAGTGTGTTCAGTTTACTTACCAACATTTTTATTAAATAGATTATTGCAGAAGCCTGTGAAAATGATAAAAAATAAAGAAATTCAGAAAAGTTTGAAACCCCTCGGAAACGAAAGATAAAATAACAATCTTAAAAGAAAAATAATTTATGGGCGTTCTGAGATCGGGAAAACGAAGGGGCATGGCTTAATTTTTATGGCTTAAGAATGGTTTATCTCGATTTCCGGCTAAACTATGAGTCCTATGGAAAAAAATTATATGGCAATGTTGTAGGCGATGAGAATTTCTATAAATTTTGTATATAGACTTTTTTCTCATAACCTCAAAATTTATCTGAAAAAATTAAATAACCAATTTTTTTGGTTTTTTATTTTTATTTTGTACAAAAAAATGTTTTCTTTCATGAGATTTGCTGTAAACTTAACTACTTTTGTCCTAGGTAGGTAGGTAGGTAGAGTGGCTGTCTAACGATGCACCTAGACCTATGGGAGGCCCATTGTGATACCACCGGTACTACTGTTCCCTCACTCTATCGTCTCCTCTCTGAACCAACCTGTGCTTCTGATGAAGCTCATCAGTATAAATAATTTTATATTTGCAACTTCTGATACGTCGTCAAGGAATCCACGACCGATAGTTGCGATTCTTTTCCTGCATAGAGCTTTACATTCGCATAGAAGATGTTTTACTGTCTCCTCTTCTTCTACTTCTTGGCAGCTTCTACAATAATCGTTGTAAGGTACACCTAGCCTGCTGGCATGTCTACCAATTAGACAGTGACCTGTTAGTACCCCAATCAGAGTTCTTATGTCATTCCTTTTGAATTTTAATAGTCGGTTTGTACGGCTCTTGCTCCATTCCTGCCACGTTAGTCTGCTAGTGGAGCAGGTTATGGATTGTCTCCACCGAGACTCTGCTATATTTATAGCATGTTCGTTGATTAAGTGCTTACAAGTTGCCAGGGGCATAAAAATTTCCCCTTTTTCAGGGGTTAATTGTAACTCGGTGCCTGTTCTGGCTAGTTCATCTGCCTCGCAGTTTCCAGGGATATCACTATGCCCTGGAACCCATTGCAGGTTTTTGTCCTAAATATATTGTAAATTTTTTTAACTTCACATTAAGGAGGACCTTATTTCGACTTAAAATCGGAAAACCCCCTAATTTTCAATTAAAAATTCTCAAGTTAAATTTTAAGTTTTTTTTTTTAAAGTCAGTCGTTATGTTATGTTATGTTTGTTGAAATCCCTACATTCTGATGGTACAAAAAATATATACATTACTATAGTAAAATTGATCAAAAAAAGACCCCACTAAACGATACAAAATTGCTTTTTTTACAGCTGCTACTACGAAATAATTAGTAGGTGAGACAAAAAACAGCTTTTAATCGTTTTTCAGTTGTTTAGGGGGGCATTTTCTGAAAAAATCTATCATAGTGCTGTATATATGTTACGTACCATCTTAAAGTAGGAATTTTCAGAACATAAAGCCCACTGACATTTAAAAAAAATTTGATAGTTTGACTTGAGATTTTTTGATTGAAAATTAGGGTACTTTTTCGATATAAGGTCAATATAAATAGAAAATTTAAATATTTAAAAAAAAAAATATATACAGTGAGTTTGAAACATAAGGAAGTAAGTATTCACCAAATTTCGTGAAAGAAAGAAATGTTTGTACAAGATAGAAATACAATAAAAAAAAGTTGGTTATACGAATTTTCCTAATAAATTTTAAGGTTATGTGAAAAAAGTTTATATACAAAAGTTTTCATTACCTACAACATTGCCATATAACTTTTTTTTTATGAGACACATAGTTTAGCTGGAAATTGATATAAACCATTCTTGATCCCTAAAAAATCAACCAGGCCCCTCCCCTTCCCTTTTCCGAAGCAGTATTGCCAGTAAAATATTGTTCATTTAATGTTTTTGTTGTTTTATCTTTCATATCCGATGGGTTTCCTACTTTGATTTTCTTTTTTGTTTTAAAAATTATTTACTCTGGTCTAAAACTAAAATCTGATAAAGTTGTAATTTATCGAGAGGCAGTGAACTTCTTTGAGGATAGGTCAAAGCCTGAGTGGAAGATTCGTGAAGGTATCTATCCATCAGTACTAGTTTTAGGCTTACTGACTAACGCTAACAGTGGTTTTTAAACCGAATTTGCTTCCATGAAAGTAAAAGTTGATCTACTGATCCAGAGAGCAGCCTCCTTTAGTGAAGTGACTATCCACTCCCATAGTATAGCAGCAATTTTTGCATTGAATCTACCTAAAGAATACCTAATATCACAATCACTGGCACCGAGTTACTTCTGGATAAAACTAGCGTACCAGGCCATAGCGAAATCACAGGCAACTGCAAATCTTATGAGTTGACAAAAAAAGGTATCGCAAAGTCGCTGTCGTTGGAGTGGAAATGCGTCGGTGCTCCGCTGTCCTTTGTCGGGTTACCATTAGACAGCTGAACCTGGCAGGAGCTTGGTGAGCGCTGGGTAACTAGCGCTACCTGGGCAGTCACAAGATCCTTTTGGCCAAAAGTAAATCGCACGTTTAAGCTTTGCTCAATTGTACGAGTTATGAAAGAATTTTGTCCAGTGCCAATTGCAAAAGATGTTTGGAGAAAGATGAGTTAGTAACATATCAATAATTTTTGTTTGATTACCACGCTTTTGCGAGATAAAAAGTATTATTGAAATTGATATAAGGAAATAGAGATTATGTTCTACCCAACACAATAGCCATAAATGTGAAAAACCGTAAAATGGAACTTAAAGTTGCAAAAAGCTGGCATAGTTCGTCTAACTTCAACATAACCTTAACTACTTAAAAACCTCCAATGTGTGTGATTTCCAACTGGGCATAATTTTTTAAGTTGAAACTCATTCAATATTAAAACTCACCAAATAACACTCAATACATCTAACTTAAATGTACATACATATAAACTAAATATTGTTTTTAGTGTTATTGCTGTTGTTGTTCTTTAAAATTGCTGTTGTAATAAATTATAAAAAAAAACTAAGATTAATTGGAAAAAATATATGTTTTATTGTTTCTAAAAATTGTTGTTGAATAAAAAATAAATTTCATACGAATATAAACTCAACTAAACACAATCGGCAATAGCGAAATTCTTTGAATGCTGCAGAACAAAATTGAAATCGCAAAAGCCAACAAAAATAAGTAAAAAATTACAAAAATCAAGACACAGTTAATCACTTGACCACCAGCTTAAAATTTTGTGCATACGGCATGGGGGGAGTATGTGGCCGGTACCGTGGCACGCACACGCATGCGCCAATGCTGCAAGCTAAATGTAAACAAAAACAAAATTCCATTTGAAAATAAAATGTGAATTTCACCAACTCAAGTGCGACGATCACCAAAATGCTAACAACAAAACTTTATACATACACATCCACGACCACACTACGACACACACAAAGTATTTATATGTATCTAGTAGTATGTAGCCGCCATCATTTTGTAGTACAACAAGCTTACATAAAGAGTATTAAGCTAACGCCGTAAATACTACGCTGGGTGTACAGAAGTGCTCACACACACGCTAAACAATACAATTCACCCGAGACACAAACCGTCATAGCCAATGAAGCTAGCTGTCACCGCTGCTACTGCTGTGTACACCGTTAAGCGATGTGAAATTTGGCAACATAGCAGTTGGTTTTATTATTGTGTATTTTCGTTTCTATTTCAACTTGAATGTTTTATTTTTTATTTATATATTGAATATAGTATGAATATTTATATTATATACAATTATTTAAATATACTCCTGCATTCGAACGAAGATAAATCTTTTTTGAATTCTTCGTTTAGTTTTTTTAAAGTAGAATTGTTGTTAATATACATATCTATACATCTATTTTTGTTGAACTTTGGAATAATTTATTAGAAGCTCAGTGGTTGAAGTGATCGCCGGTAATCATTAAATTGACCTAATTGTATTTTTTGTTAAAAAAATATATATTGTGTAACTTGAATTTATTGCAAACTATTTGTTGTTTAAAAAAAAATTAACATTGCGCGTTTATATAATTTCCATGAAAATACTAAATAATACACACTGTGCTTTTCTAAATATCTTTCAAAACAACACTTCTACAACAACAACCCAATTTGTGAACCCGCCACAGAGAGGATGAAGGCTTTATTAAAGAAGAAGAAAGACCATTGCCGGATAATGAGAATCAAAGAAAAGTCTGGCTACTTTTCGAGTACCCGGAGAGTTCGCAAGCCGCCAGAGTTGTAGCCATAATTAGTGTATTTGTTATATTGCTATCAATTGTTATATTTTGTCTAGAAACATTACCCGAATTTAAGCATTACAAGGTGAGTAGAACGATTAAGTTACTTAATATGAAGTATAAAATTAAACAACTGAGCTTTTTCACATATGGAGTTTTTAAAGATTTCTTATAAAAAGTGTATACTTTTATAAAAGCTATGAAAAAGAATTGATAAATGTGAAAGCTGTAAATACACAGAATACTTTATCGTAATTAAGAATTATAAAAAAAGCTATTTTATGTTATAAGCTTTCGTTATAAAAGTAAAATTGGTAAAATCAGAAAAAAAAGCTTTTATTATATTATAAGCTTTCATTATAAAATTAAAGCTTTATTGCCACATATATTTCTGTCGAAACAAGTGTGAAAAAGCTCAGTTTTTCACGTTTTTTATGTCTTTATTTCTTTGTTTTCATTTTGATATTTGTAACATTAACACAAACAATTTACTACATTTCCTTTGTTTACACTTTTTCTGCTTTTTGCGCGCATTTTTGCAACTTGATGTCAAATTTGTCGAAACGAAAAGCTCCAGGATCGGGTTGGATAATTTTTTTGACAAAATACTACTATTTTATTCATTATACTAGTTGTTCGGTGTTGTAACTCAGTGTGCTCCAACCAATGCCTTTTGATAATATATAAATGTGGTCTACATAAATATAGTTATGCAGCCTGTAATGTAATGCCAGCGCAAAAATTAGAATGTATACTGGTTTGAACTTTATAAAAGTTAGTAACTTATAAATTTATTAAGCTCAATTACTCGGCTTTTAAAAATTCATGATCATTATGTCAAAAATTTTACTTTGAAAAAAATTGAAGCTTGAAATTGAACCTTATTTCCACGATTTGCAGTCTCCCAACTTAATAGCTTTATGAAGGTTCTTCATTATAGATACTTACTTGTTCTTTCTATATCGTGTGTACTTTGAGAATTTCGATACTTTTCTGTATATTTAATATTGCAAAGCTTCAAAAAAGCTTTTTTTTCATTATGAGCTAAAAACTTTCACCACTATCAGTTTAGGTTTACTCCAGTGATTTCATAGCATAAATAAGTTGATTCTAAGTGCAAAAATGTTTACCATACATTTTTCACATACCACTATAAAATTTTCGAATACCGCTCCATAGCTTTTTAACGCTCACAGAGTCTCATTTTTTAGAGTTAGTCTCCATCTATAAAGTAACAAAAAAGTTATTTTTATAAATTCTTGTAGTCTTCTATACAATTGAAAAGCTCTCAAACCAGTTTACTTTCTATTTAATGTTTATAGCTAAATAAGCTTAGTATTAACGGATAATAAAATACTACTCATTTTGATTATATTTCGAAAAATGTACAACTATAAAATATTTATGTGTATACCTACGAAGAATATAACGATTGCCTACAGTGCACATATCCTTTTGACATTAAGTTGTAAAATATATGTAAAAAGCTCTTATCGTCATTTCACACAACCAATATGGGACAGTATTAAAAAAAAATTAAAAAACTTTTATTCTTAATGTTAAAATATATGGTAAAAGCCACTTTCAAAAACTATCAATACTATCCCATTGTTAAAATACTCAAAATTATATATATAATCCTCAATCATCCCTGTAGGAAAATTTTTTGAATTTGCTATTTTGTTTACTTGATTTTCATATCTGATATCCACTCCATTGCTTGACTAACAATTAATTCCGTAATTTCAATATTACCGATTATTTTTCCTGCGTCGAAATCTTACTTCACTTATTTTTGAATATTCATAAATAATCACATTCTTATTTCTTCATTATAAAACTCTGTAAATGCTTTTATGCTAACTAAGTGTTGATTTATACTAAATTTATATTCAAAAATCTAGTTGTTAACATTTTTTTTTTTTATATCTCAAATTAACAGGTGTTCAATACAACAACAAATGGCACAAAAATCGAGGAAGACGAGGTGCCTGACATCACAGATCCTTTCTTCCTTATAGAAACGTTATGTATTATTTGGTTTACATTTGAACTCACAGTCAGGTAAGTTTGCTTTTTTTCAAGGGTTTGTATATTTAAGAAGTGTTCGAAACTAAATAGTAAGCGTTAATAAAACAAAAATTATTTATAGTTTTTATAACAAAAAATAGTTAGTTTCACATTTTTTTAAAGAAATATGATTCTTTAGAGTACAATAGCTTTAAAATATTGCCCTTGATAATTGCCTTAATATATATTTTTTTATCAGGAAGTAATTGTGATTATATTTGACATAAAAACTGTGGAGCAAAACCTCGCTATGAATGTAATATATAAACAAAGACAGAAACCACTAACTAATACAACTAGTGTTGGGCTAATATATTATTTATTTGCTGTATGAGCTTTAAAATTTTTACTGCTATTAATTTTAATTATTTTCAGAGATTTATATTTTGAGTTATTAAATAATTTAAAAGACACAGGCTGTCTTCTATATATAGTCTTATAATATTTATTGTTATACTAATTTTTTTTTATTAAAATTTTATATTTTACTTTTAAGTTTCGTTTTTATTTGTCTAATAATAATTTTATACAAAAACTAAAATTTTTACTTAAGTAATATATGTATAAAGCAATTATAACAGTGGTTTAGTAATATTTTTCTAAGAAACTCTGTCATTAAGCGTTTGTTTATAAGAAAAATAGTAAAATCATTTACATAGTTTTGATTTAATAAGCAAATTTACTCTCAAATTCATTTTTTAAAAACATTTACTCATATGATATATGTATATTTGTATAATATAATACCTATATACTTCTAAATCGTTAATTTTTTTTTGTTTTTTTTTTGTTGAAAAATTCCTTATATGCCACATATTTCATTGAACCTCAAAATCACTCTCACATATTCTCTCCCATGCTCAACACATCTCTATTTTTTTTTCTCTCTCTCTCATTCTCTACATTTTTAAAGGTTCCTCGCATGTCCGAATAAGTTACATTTCTGCAGGGATGTCATGAATGTTATCGACATAATCGCCATCATTCCGTATTTTATAACATTGGCGACCGTCGTCGCCGAAGAGGAGGATACGTTAAATCTTCCAAAAGCGCCAGTCAGTCCACAGGTATGCTTTCTTGTGTGAGAAATTTAAGTACAATTGCATTAATTTTAATTAATATTATTAGCATAGCTATTTGCAAATTATATTGCTTTATAATTACAACAATAGTATTACAAAAAAAATTACAAACCATAACATAGCGTTTGGAGGAAAAACATTTAAAATTAAAAAAAAATCGCAAAACACTTTCTAAACAACAGATTTGAGAATTATAAGCTAGTACAAAAAAATTTAAATGCAAAAAAAATTAAATTATCTTAATTTTCTTCTTTTTTTTGTAGTGGAGAGTTTCATCATTTTTAAATTATATAATAATAAATTTTACACACTGAGCCATAAATTTAGCAAAAATAGATTTTGTATATAATTAAAATATATTTTTTTTTATTTACGTTTCAAATTCGTTAACGGTTTCTATCGCAAAAACATAATCGAATAAAAAAATTTTCAGAAACTTACACATATATACAAGTACATAAATATACCTGTATGTAAACATAAATACTTACTTAGTATATATATACATATATATATATTTTACTCTCTAACTCTATCTTTCACTCTCTCTCTACTATCTATAAATATATATACTATGTTAAAAAAATATATATATTTATATGACTTTTTTATTTATTAACATTATTTCAATTTCAATTACTAATCAATACAATACCCACCGCTATTTGTTAATTTTTACTAAATATATTTATGTTTGTTATTAATTGTTCGATTACATAACTATTTACATATACTATATATACATACTTGTATACATATCCTATATATATACATATATATATAAAAAAAAAACTATTTACATATATAATAATTTGTTGATTGAAAACATGCCATACCGATTATAATTTTTTAGGACAAGTCATCGAATCAGGCTATGTCCTTGGCAATATTACGAGTGATACGATTAGTTCGAGTATTTCGAATATTTAAGTTATCTAGGCATTCGAAGGGTTTACAAATTTTAGGACGAACTCTGAAAGCCTCAATGCGGGAATTAGGTTTACTTATATTTTTCTTATTTATAGGTAAGTTCCAGACGAAAAAAGCAAAACAAAACAAAACAACAAACAAAAACACACATCAACCACATACAAACACATAAAACTCCAAAAGAAAAAAGGAAACTAAACCAATTACAACCCATACACATATACTAAACTCCTCAAAGAAAACTATACAAAACCTTGCTCACCACCACCACCACTCTTATTACTATTAGTACCGCTATCACCACCACAACTACTACTACTACTACTATTACAATTACCACCCGCGCACAACCATTCTAACGATCTATACCCAAGCACACGCAATCACACACATAAACCCTCTAAAAAAGTCTAGATTACAAGAACACACACTCAGCTAACTCAGGGAATCCCAAAACAAAACACTCACTCTATATGGTCCAAATAAACAAACTCACTTTTTCTTTTTCTATGTGCCATTTTTATGCCCAAAAATGGTATAAGAATAAAAAAAAAAACTATTTTTGAAAATTTCAAGCCATTCGAATTGTGCTTGGAAATTTCTTATAACTACAATGTTTCTGAAATCAGTAAAAAGCTCAAAAAGTAGACATTAAAGACTATAATATTTCTGAAATCTGTAAAGAGCTCAAAACTACCAAAACTAGATCTTATATACTTTCAACGATGTTTTATATAGTTGGAAAATAAGAGTCTGCGAATATATGCTGTCAATTTATTTTATTATTTCATAATTGAATACTTTTTAATGATCTTGCGTAATTGATTCAATTTTTATTTTTTATTATTTTTATTTAAACTTCAATATAAAAATTTTGAAAATGCTCTGCTTTGATTAATTTCATGTATATTGATTGAAAACATGAACAGTCTTTTAAGATGCACGTGAAAATTCGAATTTAATTTTATTTGAGGTTATAAATTTTAAAACATATTTTGTAAAACTGTATTTAATTAAATTTATATAAAATTTCGAAATCAGTTCTCAAGTAAAAAATCGGAGATACAAGTTATCGTAAAATTTAGTTATTTTAAGTAAAAATAAAAAGAGAATTATATATTAATAAATATAGTTTCAATTAAAACAATAAATCTGAATTAAGTTAATTAGTAATTATCTCTGTCTGGCTTGATTGAGTCAATTAAGAAATAATACATTAAGAGAAAAATTTAAAAACAAACCAAATTAAGAAATTGTCTGTAGAACCTAAATGAAAGCATATTAGTTAGGATCAATTTGCAAATTGTCTAAATTAAGGGGAATTAAGAATGAAAATTACACACTAAATAATAGTTCAAAATTTCGATCTTCAATCGGTAGCTTAAAATTTTAGTCTAACTTCAAAATAAAATTACTTTTATAAAAATCGGGCTTGAGTTTAAATTAATGGATCTTAATTTAGTTAATTTGTTGCTTAATTGAATTTAATTAGCAAATTGTCTACATTAACATCTTCAAGGAAAAATTAAAAAACAAAGCCAATTAAGCAAATGTCTGAAGATCATATACGGGAATGTATTACTTTGGTAAATTTGCTAATTGACTAAATTAAGGGGATGTCTGAAATACTTGTACATATTATTATAAACTTTAAACTACTTCCGAAAGTCTTCACTTGCTCGATACCGTTCTTAAAAATGTTTAATTTTCAATAATTTTTCGATATAAAATATTATTTTTCGGTGTACAAAAATTAATCTTAAAACATATTAAATATTTTAAGAAATTACTTTGAATAAAATTTAAAAGGTCATTAAAGCCATGCTAAAAAATATAATACTTCAAGCAACGAATGTCTGTCCACACTTAAGCCTTTTACTGATATTCAAGAAACTAAGAACTAAAAATACATATAAAATATTTTAAACAGCAACCTCAAACACCCACACATGCACTTTTCCCCCAAAAAATTTATTTCAAAACCCACTTTTTACGTTTCCCTCCCTCCGCCAAGGTTCACTCTCAGCTTGCAGAGAAATTTTTTGTATGAAAAAACATTTGAAAAGCATACCAAAAACACTTTAATTTCCATATATATTAAAAAAAAAATTACCGCTTTTTCTATAAATATCAAAAATATAGTAAACTTAACATAGTAAAGATGGCAAAGCAAACGCACAACGAATATTCATTTGTACTGTACCTTTGAGTGTAAAATGTTAGCGAAAAATAACAACGAATGTTAATAGAAAAAAATATTTAGAAAAGTATATTAAAAAAAAAGTAAAACAAATAGTGCTTGGGAAAGTACTTTCTAAAGTACTCCAAAAAGTGCTTTCAAAAGTGCTTCCCAAATCTTTGCCCGCTCACGCAGTATATATTTTTGTGATTTTTTTTACCTTTTTTGGCGTCGAAAAGTAATTAAGTAATGATTACTAGTGATTCTTATACTTGTAATTTACACAGGATTATATGTAGGTGCTGTGTGTATCTTTTTTACTAAAATATTTACAAAAAAAATTAAAATATTGCAACAAAATAAATATATATTTTTGTACATCGATGTATAGCATACATACCTATATATATATATACATATATGTGTGTGTGACTAGGTGTAGGTGTAGGCGTTAGGTATTTACATATGTGCATTTATGTTTAAGCAAGCATAGTTTTAGGCGCATAAATATCATTAACTTAAAGTAGCGGTAAAATGTCATCAATAACAACCAAAAGACATACTGACATATGTATGTCGTAGTGTGTCATAGGTACTCACTTTACATTTACATATAAGCAAAAGTTACGCACAACAGCAAATCTATAAACCAAATTATATATAGTGCCTAAATGTATACAATATATAAGTTGAAATGAAATATTCACTCTATGAAACCCGTATGAACGCGAACTGAAATATTTTCTATCCAACCATTGAGGCATCCACGTATATATGTATACCCGTATAATACATTCATAAATATATTTACCACCACCAAACCACATCGTCTGAAACCCCTAAAAGTGTGCTATATATAAGCATTTCGATTCCTGAGAAGTAAATATATAGAAATTTACTCGAATTTTAGTCTATTGCTCCTGATATACTTTGACAGAGTAAAACGCATTTGTTTCGCCAAGCAGTCCGTTTGCAATTTTAAGGTGAAATTTAAAATTGAGATTGTGTCGCCCATAAAATCGTCGTAGCGTATGTTGTGTTTATGTCGAAAAAACAGGCGCACTTAACTAACTGTAATTTAGCCCACTAACCAAAAATGTTACTTAATATAGATTATTCTTATACATATTTATGTGTATATGTGTCCCTACTATGGCAAATCTTTCAAAATTTAAGCAAAAAAATATTTGTCTCTCAGACATTATATGTGTTTTACTTATACTAACGTGGGTGGGTGTAGTTGCATGCATACAAATATAACTTCTTAATTGATTTTCTTCAGATATTAAAAAAAAAATCTTCAACTCTTCCAATTGTATTCGTCCTTTTATTTTTTAAACTGTACTAACCAATGTCCTGGACATCAAACTCTTCACAATTTAGAAAGTATTTTCAAGTTCATCAAGAATGACTTCTATTTCGTAGTTAATCGAATTCATTTCAAAATTCATTTTCCTTTCACTATAGCTGTAGTAGTATTTTTTTTTTTTAGTAATTGTAGTGCTAATCTCTTTGAATTCTCCTTCTTACCCTATCTCTGACATCATAAGCGCTTAGTACTGAGCGCTCTGTAACTACTAACAAATATACATAAGTACCTATATGTCTGTGTGTGTTTACCATATTGGTTTTTATTTTCTTAATTACGTTAACATAATTCATTAAGTTATTTTTAAAACTACATACATAATTAATCAAATAAATATTCCGGAAAAGTAGTATGGGTATATCTTAAAGTAATATATTTAACTTAACATGAGATAAACTGTCGATAAGTTTCACATATTAAATTAAATCATTAGGTAATTGCTGTTAAAAAGAAGTAGAAAAATAAACAGGTTCTTAGTATTGATTAATTTGATTACAAAAATTATCAATTAATCTTTTAGTTATTAATTCAACTTATAAAAAATGAAGTAATAACGTTTAATGTTCTTATTACTGGTTAATCGAACTAATCTGATTACGAGAACTATTAATCATCATTTAGTTATGGATTCATGCATTAAAAGAAGTAGTTTAATTCTAACAAATACAAATAATTCAGTTAAAAATCAAATATTAATTATTAATGACGGCAAATATAGGATTTAACACTTCTTAAATAATAGCCTTAAATACTTTCAATGCTTCCTTATAAAAGTTATTAGTATTCATTATTACTAATTAATATTTCTTGTAATCCCTTTTTTTCATGAAACTCTTTTTTTCAAAACTAGAAAGGTTAGAACAGTTACTTAAGTCAATGACTTTATTCAATTGAGCGAAAGAAACTCTTTACTGTTATAAATAAATTGTTATTTGTTAGCTTTATGTAATTATTAAAATTTATAGTTAAATAATAATTGAAGTTATTAAAATTAACTACAACATAATTCTAAATAATGATTTCGATAAATTTTTCGAATGAAATAAATTCCTCGAAGTAATTTTTAAGTTTTTTCTTAAATTCGTATGTTTTGTTAGGGGTTTTAGAATTACAGCTTATTTAATTAATTAATCGTGTAATTAAAAAAATTTATATTAATTAAACATTTACTAAACCAATTTGTGGTTTGATATATTCTTTCAATACCTCGCATGTATTTTATTTTTTAATTTTGACCCAAAAATATTAAAAATACAGTATAAAATTATACTTGAAAAGACTTGTTCAAATGAAGGCTTAGCTCTTTATCTCATTGTTTATTGTCGAATTGGACATATGTTCTTATCAGTAACCTAAACTGATACTGCTTCAGTATTTCAGGCTCTCAATATTGTCGATCTTAACAGTGATCGCACAACCAATCATATGATTATAGCGAGTGCCTGATTATAAAATGTGCAGAACGAAGCTAAGATTATAGTTAAGGAACTAGGATTATAAAAGCTGTTTTTTTAGCTTTACTATAAGATGAGGGTTCGCCATTGTGTTGTAGAAATGATATCGGGCAAGTGACCACCGCTGCTGGCTCGAATAAATTCCAGCCGAGAGGCCCAATTTTTTAACACTTTTTGTAGCAATTGTGCTCGTACGTCAGCAATAACTCACCGAATCTTCTTTTCCAAGACGTCAATCGTTTCGGGCTTATCTTCGTAGACAAGCGACTTCGCAACCCAAAGGCCAACCCACAGATCAATGACACGAGATAATGTGCCCACCAAAAGTTTCCTTCAAAAGTTTCCTTAAATAGATGTTTCGTTTGCTGTATGATATGTAGCGTCGTCTTATTGGAACCAAAGGTCATTCACATCAACATCCTCCAATAACGTTCCCTATTAACTCTAACATTATGGCCGACTTCATTTTTTGAAGAAATAGGAGCCAGTGATTCCCTTTGCCCATAGAGAACAACAATGGGTGTCTTTTTGAGGACATAACTACGTCGCAACAAGAACTGAATTATCCATCTAACAAAAATTCAGCTTCACCGCTAAACAAAATTCTCTTCTCGCCATCTCGCTTTGGGCCCATTCACCCAACGTGCGCAGCACTTGATGGTCGTTCGGCTTCACTTCTTGCGCGAGTTGGAATTTGTAAGCCCGTAAGCCGCGATCCTTCCGCAAAATCTTTCACAAAACATCTTCCACAAACGATGGGCACAGCTCCAATTGTTGCGATGTCGGATGTACTTTTTCAGATCTCCTTCGATACTTTGCTCCACAGCAGCATTGTAGCGTTTTCGGTACGCAATGTACGACGTCTCTGAGAAAGCGCATTATCGACTAGAGTAAACGTGGTGGGAAACCGATTCATTGTTGCTCGAACTACCGACTCTGCTGGACGATTATGTCGACCAAATATTGGACATAACGAGCGATGCGTCGCGCGAACCGAACCCTTATTTTGGTAATAGATTTGAACGATTTTTAAAATTTGTTCTGGAGCAAGTCTGTTCATTATGAAATGACAAAGCAAGATGAGTATAAATCAAGTAAAAGCTGTCGAAAAGACCAACTTCGAAAAGAGTATTACCTACTTTAAAACCACACGTCCAAAAAAACCCCGTTACCTATACCTAGCTGCTTTTAGAATTGTATCTGTAAGGTCATTATAGCTGCGCTGCAGCCAAAGTTAATATATTTTAATTTTTTAACAAAAAAGCGCGTTCCTCAAGTTATACTGAGAACTTATGTTTAACTGCCTTATTTAAAAATCGGCCGTTATTCGGATTCGATCACTACATCAAAACTATTAACATTAACTATGAAGGGTACTCATTACTTCTGTAATAAATATACGATAACGATCGAGACAGAGATCGAACACAGATGCCTTTACTAGGATCATAGTTTAAATATATATTGTACAATAAAAGGATCATTTGGACCAAATTATTTCACCTTCAACTTTAATAAGGCCAAATTAATTTCCAGTAGCATATCGAACCGTCGTTCGATTAACATGGCCCTGGCTATGGTTCCGAAAAAATAGCAAAGCTAAATCAGTCTTATCAATGCAGAATATATTGTATTTCTCCCGAAAAATAGCTGCAGTGTTTCTCTGTTTGAAAGAAATTTGTTTTCGGAAAGAGCTACAAACTATTATTATTACAGTTATATATATTTATAGTTTAATTCGAATTAAGTAAATGCAGACATTTGTAGTCATTCTGAGAAAGTGCGTAGACGTCAGGCGTTGTATTATATTTTAAATCAAACATAGCCTTAAAATGGAAAGTGGTAAAATAGAGATAACTATTTTTACAAGATGGTGAACACTTACCTTAACATAAGTAGACTTAAGCTACTTTAATACATTGTCACTGATATGTATATTTCAAGTATCTTATGAAACAGCAAACATTTTTATGATACCAATACAACCAATTAAGCAGACCATCTGCAACAAGATTAATAGGCTTATAAACTAATAAACTTTTTAAGATATTTTTTGTCCGTCATCAATAAGAATATATACGTACTGGTAAGTTATTTAATAATACCATCTTTGTTATAATTTTCAATTTTTTTTCAACTTTTTATATACCTTACTAAAAATGAATTCAACTTTTTTTATTGACTTGCTCACACTTATCACTTTATCTACTTCACCTTAACACTGCATCTATTGCAAATCCCTCTTTTAATTACTAATTCTTTCCATTTCTTCGCACTCACGTCCCACCACCCCTGGCAACCCTTGTGATGTATGCACTGCCAAGCCAAGCCCAATTGACATATTCACAATTACCACGAAAATTTTTTGGGGATTCGTCCACCAATTTAAATGCTTAAAATTGCAAATTTCGTCGACTGCTATTGTGCTTAAACCACAACAACAACAATACCAATACCAATATTTTGCTTTCATTTGTGTACTATTTGAAAGTTATGTGGCCTAACAAGTTTTGTTTGTGTTGTTGCGTTCAAGTTTTACCATAATCTCCACGTCTGTCATACTTACATACATTTACATATAACTAAATATTGTGCTAAAATTCCGTTATTTTTTTGCCGACTGTAGTAAATGTAGTCTCATCGTTTTGTCTCATGTTGCAAATCTTTATCGTTGTATAGTTTTTTTTTTTTTTACTTCAAAATACGCGATGTCTCGCCTTGGTCAACGTTGTACAATTGCATATAGTAAATACATACATACAAAACATTAAATATTCGTAATAAATTAATAGTCGTCTAAATCATCGTTGTAATTTAACGTCGTAATTGTTTAGTTGCTATCAGTTTGTAGTTGCCTCAAAAGAAAAAAAAAAACAAATTAGAGAAAATGGAAAAATTTACGCAAAAGGAATGGAAAATAGATGATAAATGAGCTAATTTGATTTTTTTATATATAATTTTTTAAGCACCAAAAAATAGAATTTCGAACTATTAATGCCAATGAAAAACTTGAATAAATAAATTTGTTTAACAAAATTTTTAATTTTCAATTAAAATGTAAATAATAAAAAATTAAAGCTATGGATAAGGTCAAATTGATATAAATTATTTTACTGATGTCAATTTTATTGAAGAAATTTCAAATGTCAAAAGGGAAATGATCTGAAAAAAATAGATTTGATATACATTTTTTTTATGACTTGAAACAACTCTATTAAATTTAATTTTTTTAATTTCAATACAGTCTTTGTACTATAAAATTATTGAAAAAAAATTATAAAACAAAAAAAAGTTGTCCATACAAAAACTTCTTTGAATCGATCAGCTTGTATCACAGCTACATATTATATATGCTGTCTGTTGCGAAGCTTCGTGAAATAATTCATGGCAATTTTCGGGAAGATATTTTGTCATATAAAACAGTTTTTTATACAAAAACCTGGTTTGGATTGGTCTGTTTGTATGGCACCCATAGGCCATAGTGGTCCGATCTGAACAATTTATTCGAAGATTGTAGCGTTGCTTTGAAAAATAATTTATGCCAAACTCCGTGAGGATATCTTGTCAAATAACAAAGTTTTTTTCATACAAGGACTTGATTTTGATCGGTCAGCTTGTATGACAGCTGTATGCTATAGTCACCCGATCGGAAAAATTTATTCGGAGATTTTAACAGTGCTTTGTAAAATAATTAATGCTAATTTCGGTAATATAATCAAATAAAAAAGTTGTCCATACAAGAACTTCATTTTAATTATTCAGTTTATATGGCAGCTGTATGCTGCAGTGGTCCGATATCAATGGTTCCGTCAAACGAGTAGCGTCTGAGGGAGAAAAGGACGTGTGCAAAATTTCTCATCGTTATCTCAAAAACTGAGCTACGAGTTGGCGTATATACAGACAGACGAACATGTCTAAATCGAATTAGCTCGTCAATCTGATCATTTATATATATATATATATATATTATTTAAGGCATCCGACGCTTCCTACTGTGAGCATTTAATTTCTTGGCAAACTTAATATGTTCAAGACATAATAAAAATAATAATAATTTGAATACAATAACAAAATAGATATATAAATATGTAAAATAAAATATATCAACCTTGTTCCAATCGTAATGAATTTACTTCGTTTTTACATAATAAGAAATATTTATTTTAAAACAAATTTACATCACAGTTTATTGATATATTGAGACTCGGATTTTCAATACTTCATCGTCTATTTACCATTCCTTTCGTGAGAACACTATATACATAATTAATATACCAAAAAAAAACTAGTTTACCAGTTTGCACCCCGTTAATATTACTAATCAACAAAAAATTAAATAGCTTAGCGTAGCGTTTATAAATACTAACCCTAATTACCGTTAACCACTTTAGCCACTATACCACTTATGTACATTGACTACTAACGGACAATTCATTTGACCTAAGAGACGCAAATGACCAAACAGTAAAAATTTGCACTTCAATTAGAATAGTCAGAACCGATTAAAATTCAATTTACACTCTTTCTGATCCTAGGCGAATATTAATACCATTCACTGGTGATATAGTCGATATTAATTAGTTCAAGATCCAGAGCTTAGCGAGCCAAATAAATGGAAGTAAACTTATAGAGTCATTAAGCATTTAGGTGATAATTCGTTTGAAAGTGGTCCGTATTGAAATGCTTATGAAATTTATTATATTTAGAACTAAACTCTTTGAAATTTGATACTTGTTATAATCACATACGAAGTAGACTAGAAGTAGGATTGTGATTATTTTTAATTAATAATTTGATTAGAAAAAATAGAATTTAATGGACTTTAATAACTGGAATTCATATTGAAAAATTCTCTTGATTCCGTCAAGAAAACCTCCGAAACTAGTATTCGACGGTGAGAAAGATTTTTCTGTTTAAAATTATATCAAATCCAAAAAATAAATAAATTCACGTTAAAAACGAAACACTTGTCACAATTTAGATTTTTGACAAAATAACAGCTTCTCAATAAAAAATTGTTTTTTTGTAAAAGAAAACATTTTAAAATTGTGTAAAGTCAAAATAATTCTCAAAATCTTATACCTTCGATCTTTCAAATATATCTAAAAATATCGTATGCAAATTTCAAGTGGCTCAATCCAGCAGTTTCCCAGAAATTTTACTGTCTGACATTGAAACCCACAAATTAATATTACCCCTTAAATTTCTAATCTTTAACGACTTTTCTACGTTAGGTTTCGGCTGCATTTTATTATTTAGAAAATTTATTCATTGTAACAAAAGTACGTCTCTTCCTTATCCATAGAATTTTATACTAAAAAATAGTAAATGTCCAATCACAAATTCAATGATTAATTCCAATAAATATTAATACTAGCGCGTTGGTTTATTTAAATATTGTAATTTATTTACCTTCAAACGTCAAGTGACTGAATTCGTTGTAGCTAACAATACGACAGGATGATTCACACTTACTGAAATGCTTACATAAAAAGCTTAAACGTGCAAATATTATGTTTAATGTGACGCAAACTTGTTCGTACGACATGGACTCTATTCTCTAACCATCTCTTTTTCACTTATTTCACTGTTTATACAAAATTTATACAAACATATAATATTAAATAAATATATATTTTGTGCGTTAATGCCTGTGCTGTAGAGTTTAGCTAATGTGTTTCTTCGTGACGCTAAATATGCATATGTTAAAAATAACTAAACATATAAAACTAAGTAAAAAGTTATATAACATATACATATACATATGTATATAATGCAGACATACTACTACAAAATATCCATACGGGTAATAGAAAAAAATAACTAACATTTTGTAGCGTTAAAAATAAGTTATATGCAAAATAGTTCCAAACTGCTTCGGTGTATTTTTAAGCAAATACCTTCTTATAACAAAACTTACAAATCAGCCACGCTATGTACATGCATACAAAGAAAATATTTCCAACGAAATATTATCTTTTTTTTTTTTGTAGAGAAATAACAATATATTATATTATATAATGTTTAGTTTATTTTTCAGCGAAAAAGAAAACGAATAATGCTTATATTATTCTCAGAAAAAGGTTCAGTATAAATTGTTTGTATGAAATACTTACTATGGCTACTATTAGTGAAACAGTTAGTTTTGAAATGAAATTTTATATATACATTTAATAGTATTTTAGTTGCAGTTTTTCTATGATTTGCACATTTAGTTAACCTGATTATGATAAACAACATGGAATAAAACACATATAACATAGATTTTTATATAAATATTTTTTTCCAACCCACTTTTGCTCTACCCAAAACTGCTCTTGCTCAGTTCTTTGTTAATAAGTGCACAAACAATTTGTTTTCCTACAATATCTTTATTTTGTAGTTTAGCTAGTTAGTAAAAAAAAAAAATAGTTTAATTAAAGTTTATAAGTAATTTAATAATTTTCATTTATTTACTTTTAGCAAAACGTTCAATTTATCATGTTGCTAAAACTTTAAAATAATCAAATTTTTTGTTTTGTTTTAATGTAGTTAGCAATTAAAAATATTTTTATACAGAAATATAATTATGCTCTTATATTTAAAGATTTTAAAGTAGAAATTGTGGTAATTGACGAGGAAGTGTGTTGCTGACAATAGCATTGCTTTAAGTCAATTTTCACAAATCAAATTTTGTCGTTAGCAAAGAAAAACAGGGTACATATGAGTAAACAAATATTATTTATATACAAAATCATGGAAATATATACAAATTATTTGTATATAATAATGTGTTCTTATGCTTGTAGCGCCATACAATATTTTCTTTACGAAAAGCTTAATAAACAAATATTTTGCCAAATTCCAAGCAGAATTTAAACAGAAGTGAAAGAAAACTAATATTTTTACAACAACATTTATACATAAAAACATATAATATATATTTATTATTTTATTTGGCATTTTAATGAAATTTCACTAATTATTTTAACATTTCCTTCATTCATTTGCCGCTTGTCCTCAAAACTCAAACAATATATAAAATAAATATATAAACAAATTCTCACACATTGCATTGATTTGTATGCACATATGATTAATGCTCGTGTATGACGTCGTACCCTTGGCCGTAATGCAGGCGTTGTTCTATTCTCTTCGGCGGTTTATTTTGCGGAAGCTGGTGCCGAAATGTCCTTCTTCAAATCCATACCAGACGCATTTTGGTGGGCAGTGGTTACCATGACCACAGTGGGATATGGTGATATGAGGTATAAATATAAAAGCGAAATTACCATAAAATAATTAGTTTATGTCAACTACGAAAATGTATATTTGCAAATATCAGGGACGGTTAATGGAAGTCTAAATAGATTTGGCGAAAAAATAAAATTGTAGGAAATAAAAAAAAATATTTCTACAATTTTGTGTTAAAATTGCAGTATTGCTTTTAACAGTTGCCGAAAAAAATCTTTTGCTTATCTAATATTTTTTTAAGAAATTATTATTTTTAAATGATTTTCTTTTACTTGAAATAGTAATATTTATTATGTATCTATCTAATTTAAAGTATATGTATGTTTTTCTTTATTTTTGACCTACAAAACCTTAGTCACATTCACATCAAAAAATTCATAAATAAATTTATATAATTCTTTTATTGTTTACACATATTTCATTGAATAAAAGTAACGTTAATGAAGTTTTTTTTTAATAATTATCTTAAAGTTGCTTACTCAAAACCGTCCCTGATGATTATTGACAATATGCTATAATATTAATATTATTATTTGTACAAATATCTGCATATCGTCATGCTACTTTGATGTGAAGGATCTGTACTTTTACTGCAGCTTTTACTATAATTCTGAAATACTTATTTTCTCAAGCTCTTATATCTCTTTGTATTTTTTATTTATTCTTAATTAAATGTTTTGATTTCTAAACTGTGCAAACTAAAAAAATATATATAAATAATTAAAAAAGCTGTAAAAATAATATATATAAGCAAGTATAATTTCTGTGCCTCTGTGTCACCAATTCATTGTGATGCATATGTGTCACACTGTGGCTACCTTCAGTGTCGTTTTTTTGTACGCCAGTTATTCAATATAAATGTGACATTTTCGGTTAACTTTTGTTTGTGCGTAAAAAATTGTAATATATTTAATTTATTCTAACAATTAATGTATGTGTTGAAGAGCTGAATTTAAATATTAATTGTATAAAGTGATGTGTGTGCGTGTGTGTGTTGTGTTTACAAATATTTTATGCCAACAAATTGATTTAGTGCTGAAATGATTTTCTTACCAATTATTATTATTTTATTTATTTATTTTTGTCACTTTCAGTTATAAACAAATATTTTGAGAATTATTAAGCATTTTATTATGTATTTTCAATTATTTAGTATTTTTTTTTTCCAATTGCATGAATATTTTAGCCCAAGCAGAACATAATACATTTTCTATGTATTAAAAAAATACAGATTCTTAAGAAACAAAAATTCTATTTTGCAACGTATCACCATATTTCATATGAGGTAGAAAAACAAAATTTTTTTGAACAATCCTGCCAATGTGTTAGTACGTCTGCTACTCCGGCTTAGCAACATTAATTAATAAAATATTGTAATAAAAAAAAACCTAAATATTAAAAAAAAAAATCAATAACAAATATTTATTTTCATCAGAAACCAAAAAAATATTCTAAATTTCAGTATCTAAAACTTTGTTTTTTCAAAGATACATACATAATATATATCGCGTAAAATTCTCTAAAAATTTTCTTTAATCATAAAAGAATCAAATTCTACATTCGCATGTCCGACATGCACAAGCAAATCATATAATTTCCGTCTGTTAGTTTTGAAACTTATCAGTTATCATCAGTTCTTTGCTTTTCTCTTTTTCCAAACATCTTAAATTTTATTTGACAAAAATAGAAGCATTCCAAAATTAATTTTGAAGTATTAACACACGTTTCTTTCACATCAATTCTGCTTGGGATACGTACTCATAGTACATATTTTACTTTCTTATAATGCAGAGATTAAAACTAAAAAAAAAATGTTTCAAAAATATTGACTATGCTGTTCAAGCTTATAAATTACAACAACGTAAATTTTTAGATAAAACCGCTTCAAACCCATATAAAACTAGTGTTAAAGAGTAAATTTACATTTACTTCAATAAAATTGGTATTTTTAACGCAATAAATAAATAAAAAAAATTACCAAATATTTAGTGTGTTCAATGACAAAGTACCCAACAAGGAAGTAAATATTTAAAATTAAAAATATTTTTTTTTTAAATACTTACATTACTAACAAATTTCTACACCAAATACCATCAGTGCCACTAACAGTACCAACATCACTACTGAGAAATATTAATAATAAATACTGCCAATACAGAACTACTACTACTACTACTACTTACTAATTTAAAATCCTTCATATAAGTCATACATGTTAACAAATTGATGCAAAAATATATGTAAATCGCCCTGACCTGAATCCTTTCTTTCCAAAAAAAATTTATTTCGCAATTAATCTCTCATCAAATTCTCACTTTTTCCTCTTTGTTTAAAAGCTGTTCATTTTCTTTCTATTCACATTTAAATCTTTTCTATATCCTACAAACTCATCCTTAATCCTAATTCCTCAAGAACTAAGACAAAATCACCATTTTCTCTTTCAACAAGAACCATAGCGAAGAAACCAATAGATTTGTTTGATTTTAGGCGTTGTACTCTTCTCATCGGCGGTTTATTTTGCGGAAGCTGGAAGCGAAAATTCCTTCTTCAAGTCCATACCCGATGCATTTTGGTGGGCTGTCGTTACCATGACAACCGTTGGATATGGTGACATGACGTATGCAAAATCTACTAATAATATTTATTTTCACTTACTATTTAACTAGTACTATTTTTTTTTTAACTTTTCGCATAAGTTCATTTACTGCGTATATATACATGACCATATAAGTTTTCGATTTTTAAATTGAAAACATTCAAATTTTATTTAGCTTGCTGAAGAGATGAAACTCAGTGGCTTAGTGAAATAAAAAAAAGTATTAAATTTATATAATATATTTGCAAAAAAAATTAGTTATTAAAATTTTCTAAATTTTTTTAAGTAATTTGTCTAAGTAAAATTTCTAAATTTCTTTAAGTAATTTTGCCGCTACGTTTCATTTCTTCTTGCGCCAATTCACCCATATAAACATATAGTTTTGTATATCTTTTCTTTTGCAAATTCTTGCAAACGTTTGCAAATCGCTTATTGAAATATTTAGCATTACAAAACGCATTAATATCAGTTGAATTTAGTGTTTCACACAAAAGAAAAAGCAAAAAAAAAAATTGTGCCTAAATCACATTACAATTTGAAAACAGTAGATTTGCATTCGAACTCATTTGCATTGCAGTTACAACTTCTCAATAATCATCATTCACACATACATACATACAGTAATTAACATTTGTCTATCAACAACTTGCATACAGTCGCATTTCTATTTTCATACTACATACATACATACTCACGCGTACATATGTACTCACAGCGCGGCTGCATTAACTGAATCGCTGAAAGCACCCATTTTCATATACATGCATACCATACCATACAGCTCCAACAGACACTCATCCAATTGCATCAAAATCGTTTTCTAACTCACAATATTCAATAAGCTTCCACGATTTCATTCAATTACATTTTGCTATACACCCACCCACCCACTTTCGTCTTTCAAGCGTCCTAAATTGTTAACACACACACCCATTTGCTCATATATCTACGCTGAAGCATTTATAAACAACAACAACAACAACAAATAAGCAGGCAGGTGTGCACAACAACAACACTGCACTTGTTCATTTAGTTTTCTATTCTTCTGCATCATCACAACGCATTTACCTTGGTTCGTTCGCTATCACACACATACTGCCATAATTCCACTCACCCGTGTATTAAGCTGAGTTCATACTTGGTTTCAAGTATGCATACTTTTTTTTAATTATGCAAAATTAAATACTACAATATATATCCAAAATATAATATTAAAGACATTTTAATGTGAATGCAATTTTATGAAAATATTTCAAAGAAAAAATATTTGTTTAATAATTTTACTACTTACATATAAGTATGTATAATGCAGAGCATTATTACGCAAATGCATATTGCCTTCATAACTTTTTTGAATTTAGCCAAAAGAAAATATATGAAATTCCTATGAAAACCTTAGAGTCTCAACACACTTTTCCACATTTGCTTCGTAAAACTTATATCCCAAATTACTGAAAAAATTAAAAGCAAAGCAAATTTTTTTAAATAAATCCCAGTATCAATATATCTATATAAATTTATTAAATCCTTAATGCTTATAACTATAAATTGCAACATATTCGAACCTCAATCCATCCAAAGATTAGTTTCCACCTTGCCATTTTTAAGGCAACCTAGCATTTAGCTTAATACCATTTCAACTCAATTTGAAATTAGTTTTTGAAATAAACAGATTATATCATACTTTTTTTGTGAGGAAAAGACTCACTCGTGAAATTTATTGGAATAACAATATATACAAAATGACTAGTCTGAGTATTGCCAATGTAGAAAGTAGAATGGAAATTAAAATTTAGGTTATCTTCTATAGGCTTCTAATGTCTCCTAGAGGTGTATACAACTTAACTTTTCTAGTTGGAACACTTTCAAAAGCGTATACCAATTTTTTTGTTTATTATATTATATTAGCTTTTATTGGTATCTTTTTAACTAATGGAAATATAGAACTGTTTCAAATCTTTTAGATCTCTAACCCTTTTAAATTGTTTACAGAAAATATTCAGGATCAATTTAATGCTTGATGCTCAAAATTATTTATATATATAGTAATAGTTTCAAATGAAGTCCGTTTTCAGGTTTCTATATAGATCCGTCCTCCTAATATCCTCTCATTAGTTTTATATTAGAAAAATTTATTACTAGGTAGTCAAAACCAAATAACCTGTTTGCCAACCAACTATGGTTAAAATAATTCTTTAAAACCAATATCCTCCAATTACAAAAAAAATAATAGAAAAACTGATTCGAATTCCGATTATAAGTAATTTAACATAACCTAATTAGTAAATCACTTCAAATTAAAATATTAAACACACACCATGAACAGCCGTTCTAAGCTATCCAAGTGAGATCCCTGATAGGATCGACCTCTTAACCTAACCTAACCTAACCTATATCTAAAATTGATAGAACTTTATTCCTTCCATTACATACGTCTTGGATAATCCATCCAAAGTAGCCTTTAGACGCCGTGACAAATTCATCGATAACGATAATATCGATAGTATTTAGAACCGAAATTCCTATTTTGTACAGCAAATCAATAAAAAAATTCGTTTCACCCGATAAAGCTTAAGGAGTTACATGGGTTTCGCCGAGCAAAAAAGGGTTTTTTCAAAAAAAATTTTTTAATTAAATATTAAATTTTATTCATTATTTTTATTATTCCGAACAAACATATATATTTTACAAATATTTTCTGAAACTTTCAAAGCAGAATATTTAAAACTCTGCCATTACGACGTCATTTCCTGCAGTCCCTCGTAAAAAGAAGAATTTAGGACAATATTCAAAAAAAAAAATCCTTAAAGCCGTGAAGCCCATGTAATAAATTCTCGGCAAGAAGTAAAATTAAGTGTTCACCTACTAGGAGAAGACAAAAAAACTTTTAAAAAAATATTTATGAAACAATCTTAAAGTTCTATAGAGGTAGAATATTAAACCAAAAAAGTCAAAGTTATATACGAATCTTCTACTTTTATCTCAATCCTTACTTGATCTAAATTTAATATACAGTGAATCCAGTAGACCCCCGTATTATCTATAATCATCTGTCATCTATACCTATATCAGTATTAACACAGATGAGTACTACTTTCAGCACTATACTCTTCTTCTTCGGTAGTAAATTTGCAAATACTACAAATCTGAAGCCAGCATCATACTTAAGATACACTCAACATTTTCAACAATTCTGAATTCTTTTTTTTTTTTGTATTTGTTTACTGAAAATCTAAATAAATCAAATTTGTTCTGTGCATGTGGGCATGTTTAACATTGTTTATGCTTTATGCTTTATTATGTTTCAAAAATCTGGCAAAAGTTGTGATGGCTAAAAGTTAAATTGCTCTTTTTCGTTTGCTCAATTGCTGGCAAAACTGCGCAAATTATTTGAATGAGAAAATTTTTGTGATTAATTTATTGAACTAACGGTTATTATTTTTAATACTCATTTATTATAAAATGTTTTGGCATTTTCTTTTAATTTATTTTGCTTTACTTGATTCCATTTTGTTTTTTCATTTATTTTCTATAAATGTTAAATCATCTGTTTGTTTTAAACTATATTTTTATGTATTTGTACATACATACAAATGTATAACAAGTATTTATGCATATAAAAAATAAGAATGTGTTGTACAGGATAATTTATTCATCGTTAAAGAGACAATCAATCACACACAAATCGTATATTCGCTTTTAACATATTTCCCTCTACATTTCTAATCACACATAAACTTTGCCCTAACACCATTTTGTTTGTTCGTTAGTATTTCCCACTGTTTACGTTAGGCTTTATATCCGAAATTAAAGTTTTTTCTCCAATAATGGTGACTGTAATCAGATTGTTTAGTTTAAAGAACGCAATAGAACCTATTTTTTTTCACCAAATTCTGTGCATCAAAATCTCTGAAATTTTTTTGTCCTCTCCGAAGGCTTCATCTTATATAATCAAATCAGACCCTGACTGACAGAATAAATATGTTTGCGTATTTAAAAAATCTTTACTATTTTGCTTTAGTACAACCAAGATAGCTAAGGCTAGGCTCGGATGGCCTTTAGTGCGAATACAGTGGCTGAGCCATGACTCAAGTCAGTCACAACATGCTAGAGTGTGATGCGGCATTATCGTGGTAAAAAATCTATCCATTTTCTGCCATCAAATCCATGTAGTATTCCATATTTGCCGTTTGACCCTGTGGAACGTATTTGTGGTGAACTACAACTACACCACGGTAATAAAAAAAAAGATGAGTATTACCTTGATTTTTGATCGACTTTGACGTGGTTTTTCGGTTTCGGCTCATTTTGGGAGCGCCATTCGCTAGATTATTGATTAGTTTCAACGTCATATTCATAAACCCACATATCGTCATCAGTAATGATGCGTTTGGTGAATGTAAGTTCCACAGCTATGTTGTGGAACATGTCTTTTGCGACCACTAATTGACGTAGTTTTGCAAGTTTTATGGTACGAGTCTAGCATTGACATACTGAATATCCGAAACATTAACCAAAATCAGTTGATACATAGATAGATAACGATTATTTGCAAAGATTGTTTCTTAAACCTTTTCGATGCTTTCGTCATTAACAGAGGTGGATGAAAAACTCTCATTAGACAAGTTTTCAATGACTTCACGACCTTCACTGAAGGCTTTGAGTCACTCAAATACTTGTGTTCCTGATAAAGCAAGCTTTTTAAAACACTTCTGCAACGTTTTCAGGAATCCCATAGCCGTGAGTCCATTGAATACACAAAATTTTAAGCAAACTCGTTGTATAATTTTTTTCCATGGTTAAAATCGGCAGAAAAATTTTTTACAAAAAATTGTTATGATTTGGAAAACTTTTAGATATCCACCTCAACAGAGATCCCAGTACCTATTTCTATTGATTCAATTACCAAAACGATCCACAAAGTTTGAAAACAAGGCCCTTTATAAGACTTTCATGCCACCCCAAAACACCTTATGATTTTCCCATAATAAAATGACTACGAAATACTCACCCAACGCTATAGACACCTCATACATAAAAATTTATAGAAATATTCAAGGTTATAAAGCTTGAATGTAATAACAGAAAATAATTTAAATATTATATTAAAAAAATTATATATTTAAAGTAAACATATTGAAAACTTAAAGCACTCTACTCATATATAGAAAAAATAACTTTACAATAAAACATAACCACACATTTTCCATATCAATCTTTTCTATAAACTAGTTGTAACACAACCGATCTCTCACTCTATCTGTCAGCCACTCTCACCCTCTCTTTCTCTCTCACTCCTCCACTACAACTATTACAATAAGTAGTGTCTCGTCACTTACAACGCGTTCCGCTCATAAATCGCCACTGTATATATGCTCTTCACACAATTTTTTTCGATACATTCACATAAAAATATAACTTAATCTATCTAATATTTATAATTTTGACTTTAACAATCGTTGTCAACCACTTTACCTATCCTTCTTCCAAATACAAAAAAAACCGAAAATCTCTCAACGTAGTATATTTCGATATTTGTAACTAAACATGTTTTATTTTTTACTTTATATGTTTAATGTACTTTTATAAATCATATATTATATAAATATATTGTTATCGATATTTTTTATACTTATTTATATATGATAAACAAAACCAAAGCAGTTTAAGAAATTTTACTTTACATTTTTATATATTTGTATTTTCATTTTATTATCGTTCGTTCTCGTTCGTTACACATCGTACTTCATCCCAATGCCAAATCAAAAAACAAAAAATAATAATTAAATCGATTCAAATTAAAAAAACAATTCAAATTAAAAACTTCTCAAATTATCAACCGTAATCGAAAATGTAATCGAAATTGAAAATCGTATCGAATCGACTAAAATCGATATTTATCGCACGTTAATCAATCATATGTGAATGAATGAATGAATGATCACGCAAAACGTATGAAAACGCAAATCAACTTTACTGCGCAAAAAATTTTTATTAAAAATATGGCAAAATACAAAAACATATTTTGCAATTAATCGATAATACTCATCGAAAACGTGGCAAACAAATGTTGAAAAAAAAATAACAATATATATCTATGCAAAATAATACGAAACAACAGACCCGTCGGTGTTTGGGGTAAAATCGTGGGATCACTGTGTGCCATTGCTGGTGTCTTGACAATCGCTCTCCCGGTACCAGTTATCGTCAGTAATTTCAATTACTTCTATCACCGCGAAACGGATCAAGAGGAGATGCAGAGCCAAAACTTTAATCACGTTACTAGTTGTCCATATTTACCAGGTACATTAGGTAAGTACTTTTTGATCAAATGATTATCAAATTTTATCGAACTATCTACATATGTATGAGCATATCAATTTATGTACATATGGTATGTATACGGGAGTTTACACTCATTCAACACACAACTACACAAACCGTTACATTTTTAATAAATTTGATATTTCTTTGGTGGCATATTTTAAATTTCCACATTTTAAATACAAAACCAGTTTCTTGAAAACAAAATTTTATGTAAATAAAAAAAGAGAGCTCTACATAACCTCAAAATATATTTGACAAGAGTTAACGGCAACTCGGGGTTCGATATATCAACATTTTTCATACTTGAAATAAATAGAAATTTATTGATTGTTTAAAAATCGATATATAGACATAACTCAAAGTATAGTATAAATACAGTATACCATATTTACTTCAATAAATAACCACAAAAAATGAGTTTCAGAAAAATTTCCGAATTTCCTTAATCTTATTTAATTGGTTGGCAATACTGTGATATCAATCTAAAAAGCATGTCTCTATACATGTTTCCTCAAACCAAACAGAAATTAATCTCCTATGGCAAAATTATAATTTGAGACCCTGTATAAAGGGAAATTTTAATAAATGTGAATAAATGACAGAGTTAATCCACAACGCTGTAATTTATGGCTGTTTTTCTGACACGATAAATTAATTCTTCTTGTTCATCTAGGTCTTCGCCAGGTGGCGCTGTTGGCCGATTTTCAATTCTACTTTGAAAAAATTATGTTATTTGAGGGATTCCATTACTCCAAGAGAAGATTTCGATGAAACGGTTCAAAAGTAGAATCACCAATTTATCAAAACCTTGCACAATAATCCCAAAATTTTCTCGAATTTTAAGCAACTACTTTAAATGCTTACAAAATAAAAATCAGATGTATAAACTGAAAACGTACAATATTTTGTAGAAAGTGTAAGCATTAAATTTCTCCTGCTTTTACAAAATAAGTGGAATCTATATAATTGCTCTCTGTATTAATAATAGCAACTTAATATTATTTATAGCGTGTAGTAAAAAAATCCATTACTATTACATTAAATTGAAGGATTTACTTAGCATAGCTAAAAACATTCATATTTTATTCTATAATTTGTTAACAGCTTGTAGGTAATTTCATAGAGCCACTCTCATAGAAACCTTCGTCCCTGCTGGTTTAAAACTGGGGCAGTCGATTTTCATAAGCCTCTCTACAGGCTAATTTTTCACCAGCAAAATTATTCGTCATAGACAGGAACAGATAGTAATGACTAAGTGCCGGGTTCGGGCTATAAAGTGAATGTTTAAGAATCGCTATTGATGTGTGCGGCCTAGCTTTGTCCTGATTGAATACAATTAATACAATTCCGCTCCTATTGGTGAGTGCTAGCGATTGCTTCCTATAGACGATTCAATTGTTGACAATACAGATTCGAATTACGAGTTTGGTCATATGGGAGAAAATCATAATAGATAATCCCCTACTAAACGCACCAACCACATAGCTAAACCTTCCTGGCCACTAAACCTTGCTTGGCCATAGTTTGCGCCAGCTCACCGCGATTTAATCGCTACTATTGACGTTGTTCGTTTTTTGTTGTGATTGTGAGCTTATTTTTGTATCCAGCCTTATGTAAATGGCTCCAAGCGAGTGCAATCGAAACATTGCTTACAAGACGATCAGACTCAACGATTTTCATTATTTTGTCAATATTTTCGATAATACTTGTCTTTCTAACGCTATTTAGCCTAACGCGATCGCAAGTATACAACGGAAGATAAAAATTACTAAAGCGATCAATTGGAAAAATAATGTATTTCCTTTTACTAGGCCTTATAATAATCATACATTTTAGATCCAAAAAATATGAATAATAAAAATTTCTGTCATAAAATTCTTTGTATAGTAACAGCAATGATGTTGAATGCTTAAAAAGCAAAAAATACAAAATATTAAATTGGTTACAAATTCTCTGCAGATATATCAGAAGAATGGAAAGAAGAAAGTGTATGATGACCATGAAGCTAAAAGTCTACTTACTAAGCTTCAGTTAAACTCCGCCTAGGTTATTGCAGCGATTCCTGTGTGTGTTTTGGGTTAAAATTTTTGAGATTATAATACAGCCAAAGCTCAGTTCTTTCCTGGTTAGCCAGGCAGAAAAAGATTTTTAGTGGGTCTATGTCTATATAAAGCCGTACATTGTGTTCGTAGAAATTAAAAAAAATGTTATTTACCCGAGCAAAATTACTAAATGTAGCAATCTACAATTTTAAGTTACAGACGTATCTCTTCTGCTACTTCGATTTCGATGTTTACTGAATATTTTGATCTGTGCATAAAGAAAACTGTTTAGTATCGTTTCCCCTTCAAAAAAAATTAACACATTTTAATATTTTATGTTATGACTTTGAGCCTCTTGAATTTTTGAATAAAAATTTATAAAGTTTTTAAACCAAATCACAAACACACACATACATTCATAAACAATTACATACATATGTGCATACATACACGCGACTCGTTGAGAAAGTTCTCTGAGGTGTTTTTTGCGATGCTTTTGCAAAATTTTCTGGTTAATTTTCAACATATTTCCTTCTTCTCTCTCTTAACAACCAATTGTCACGCCTAACAACCTTTCATCCATCCACCAATCCTTTAACCTTCCCACCAACCCAAACCTTCACCACACACTCTCCTCTCCAAATCGCTACCTAAAAATTTCCTTTGCCCACAATTTATTTTCCCACTCTCCCTACATTACATTTCCTCTCCACTCAAAATCCCCCCTAATCGTACATTCACAAGTAGGTCAACATTTAAAGAAATCATCGTTATCTGAATCCTCATCGGATATGATGGATTTGGATGATGGTGTTGAATCAACGCCAGGATTGAGTGAAATGCATCCTGGTCGTGCGGTGGCTCCATTTTTAGGAGCACAACAACAATTGATGGAAAAGCAGCAGCAACAGCAGCAGCAGCAGCAGTTGCAACAACAGCAAGCGTCCATGCAGCAGGCGTCGCCGCAGCAGTCGCAGCATCAACAGCAGCAGCAAACGCTGCAACTGCAGCAGCAACAACAAAATGGTTATAAGCAATCCGCAACAAGCGTCACTGGTGGCAATAACCTAACGACTACAACAACAACGCTACGGCATAACAATGCCCTAGCCGTTAGTATCGAAACCGACGTTTGACTACTGGGTGAGTGCGATTAACCAACCAAATACATACATACATACCAATGTGCTATGAATTGTGATATTAAGCGATTTTTTTCCCGATTTTTGTTGGTTTGTTGTCAACATGCAACCATTCCACTTGTATTATAACTGTATATTTGTATACTTTCCTACCTGTAACTGCATATTTTATTATCTATCTTCTTGTGTATTACCGTTTCAATTGTTGTTGTAATAACGTAACTAGTTACATATAAACATATGTACAAGTAAACATGCTCGCGCGCATCTAACAAATTACAGTGCCTACCAATAATGTTGCCACTAAAAACTACTAACTTTATTTACAAATAAAAATAATAATAGGGATTTCTTAGTTAAAAATTAGTAGAATTTATTTTTGAAAAAAAGATTACCATTGAGAACGAAAAGCCGATTTTTTTAACCTCATAGCTTTTACTTACTTCAAAATTATGTAAATGCGTGCAGTTTGTATATTGTTTTATTCTCATTTTTTCAAAACTAAATTAGACATAACACCCACATATCTAAATATAGAAAGAGAGTAGCAAGCTGTCCAAACCAAAAGTCATTATGGCCGTCTTCGATATGCGACTTTTTTGCTCGCTATTATGTCACTCCGTTCTCCTGTGCAAAAAAGTTGCATAAAAGAAACGAGAAAGTTATCTTACTGAATTCAGGGTCTCCAATGCCTCATTAAGTTGGTTTAACCGTTTACTAAACTATCTCCATTTGATTATGCTACTCTATTGCTTTTATACCAGTTATTGGTTCGTTTCGTCACTATCCACTGACAGCCATCCCGATTATAGAGTGTCAAGGATGCCGTTGTTTAACACAAATATCCAGATATACTCCACATTCGGGTCACTATTTTTGATATCACCACCTTTCTAACCCACTCCTTTGCTAGTGATTCCGCTGGATTGAAAGTCGAGAACCTACTTCCACAGCTTATTTTCCGGGTATCTAGATATAAATAATTTTTTTTTAATATTAATTAATTATTTCAAGGGATTGCTTAGGATCCACACAAAATGTATAGAGTTTACCAATTCCCTAGTAGTTAGCTGAATAAATTTGTGGTAAGCTCAAAACGCAACGTCAAAGTTGTCTTTTAATGAGCGATGTATAGTTTAACTAGTTTCTTTTTTATTTATATGCTCGACTTTAGCTCATATAAAATTAATATGTTTATCTAAGACACTTACCTAAAGTGGTGACATCACTGGGTTTCTCCATTTTTTTTGAAATACTACACAGCACGTGACGACTACTGAAGCTCCATATATTGAAAGAATTAGCGTGGAAACTAACACATACGCTACGAAAGAGTTGAATAATCACGCGTTCTCAAGAATTTTGGTTAGATTTATCAATTTAGCATTATGAAACTCATAGAAACATTAACATAAATATCTGGTAGCACACTCGTTAAATTAACCATTTATTTTACCGATAGTTGGCCTTCAGGGTAAATTCTTTCTACTATACAAATGCGTCAGTATTTCAAAGAAAAATTATATATATTATTTTTATTATGATTTTTCTTGCACTTGCCTCAACATACTTATGTATGGTTTCTTTGCACGCTCTCACTTTTGAAAAGCTTTCTAGAATTTTTTGTATTTTTATGGCTATAAAATTTCACAAATCATAATTTCTCTTCAGTTCGAGCATTAAACGTTTTGAAACTTAAAATTTTATGAACTTTAAATATTTAGTGAAAAAAAATCGAAAATTTTAATTCAATTATGCCAATGATGTGTTTTGTCACACTGCATGCTTCAGCTGCTTTTGA